ACTAGAATGCACTCTTTTATAAAAATTCTCCTATGTATTGTGTTCGGGATTTTTGACTTCCTAACAAAAATGCATATAGAAGTAGCTCACATAAAAACGAGGAGTACCTCACTATACAAGAACTAGCTCTAAAAAGAAAGTATTATAAAAGCAGAGTGGAGTCAATTGACTTTTTTAATACCCATCTTCGATCTGATACTAGAGATGCCTAACTACTTTCTGAGAGGAATGTCTGATGTGTGTGAAAGGGTTATATTTAAAATGTGACCCAAATATTTACCTTTGTTGATATGAGAAATCAGTGGATTTATAATTTTCTTCAACTGTAGTACCTACAAATATTTTCTGTCTCACAACACATTTTGAACAAGCAATTAACAAAAACTAAAACTGCTGAATCACAGATTTTAAAAGAAAATCGGTCGATTTATTTATCGTCTTGATTTTAGGGATGACTGACATGCTTTTTTTGAGAGTCTGCAAGACATGGAATGTTAACAACCATCATTGTCAAGAAACCTCCTAAAATTTTGCCCAAAAGCCTCATGCATCACTTTAAGCTCATTTCCTCTCATTGAACAGAGGCAAGACAGCTGGCCAGCATCTTCCATCTGCACTGCCCTCAGTCTTCTCCTGTGTTACAGAACACCCTTCTGAAATGGGAGAAGGAGGCCGATTTGAGACAGGAGAGAAAACTCTAAAAAAAATATTGTTGTGGAAAATGTTTTAAAGTTAACTTTGAATGGGGCTATATAGATCAGGTCAATGAATGGGCCAAAATACTGAAGTACTATCCCTAGAATAATTCAGACTAATACTTAAATAGTATTACTGGGTCATAAAACACCAGGCCAGGAAATTAAAGATGTTTATTCCTCATCAAAAAGTCTTTGAATGTAACCCTCTGGCATACTGCCAACAAGGGCAGATCTTTGGGGGAAAACCCTATGCCAAAGGCCAAAGAGGCAGCTGTGTTATTCAGCTCCTGAGAGCTTCCAACTCAACACCCACACAAGCTCAATTATGAACAAATTAAAGGGATCCAGACTGAACACAGTAATTCTGGTAATTTAAGTAAATAGAGGAAAGTCTACAATTAGTAGGAAAAGATTGATTTTCTGGAAAACCCAGAAAATGACACCCTAACCCCTTTGAATAAGCATAGTTGCATCCAATTATTTAAAAATAAATTTCCTTTTATTCATCATTTTAATCATCCCTGATCTGACTTAAATGTGGCTACATGCATGCCAGCAAAAGTATCTACAAAAAATTGAGGCAGAATAGTCTTAAAAAAGCTCTACAATGGATATACAAGAATTAATGACACTGAATAAAATAGGATCAGAGTTTTAGACCTATGTTTTAGAGCACACAGATAGTGTTACTCATTTCTACCCTTTTCAAGTACAGAGAAAAATTTAGAGCCATTCAGAAAGAGTCAAAGATTTAATATTGGGAAATCTATTAATATAATTCACTGTATCAATAAAATAAAGAACAAAATGCATTCTGTATAGATCCTTAAAAATCACTTAATAAAAATCAACACCCATTCCTGATTAAACAAAATGAGCAAATAAAAAACTTTTTAAGAAGCTAGGAATACAAAGAAGCTTATTTAACCTCATAGAAACATTCCTATCAGGAACCATCAGCAAACATCATGATGGACACACAGGTGTGTGTGCACATACACCATAGAAGCATTCCTGTTTAACTTTTAAATTTATTTTGATAAGCTAATATGAAGTTAATGTGGGAGAATAAATGCATGTGAAGAATCAGAGTAATTTTGTAAAAGAAGAAAAATCAGGAAGATCATCCTACAAATTATCAAAATACAATAAGATAGCATGATAATTTATAAAGGGTGACACTGTCATGGGACAGACTAATATATCAACAGAACAGCATGTCTAGAAACCAACCGATGTATGTAAGGGAATTTAGTATTCAATGTGACTGCATTCTGAATTACTGGGGAAAGGATGCAAAAGTCAGTAAGTGTTATTAATAATTTGCCTGTTTCTGTGGAGGAAAAATTTCCCATCTTATAAGCCACGGATAAAAACATATTATGGATTTCTGTACATTAAAAAAAAAAAAAGCCTTTAAAAGCACTAGAAGGAAATTAATGAGATAAGTATAAAACCCAAAAGTCATGAAGGAAAAGACGGAAATATCTGACTATAAGCCAAAACCCTTTTTAATAGTTAAGAATATCAGGCTTGAACTAAAAAGGCAAATAATAGATTGCAAGAAATTATTTGCAACACACGTAATAGTCTCAAGATGAAAAAGAATTAACAAATGGAAACAATGGCAAAAGATGAGAATAAGCAAATTGTAGAATAAGAAATACAAATAAATTCCTCTAACTCAACAAAAGCAACAAAACTAAAATTCTCAATTAAGCCCAAATTTGATCAAAAAGGAAAAAGTAAATTATAAATCAAGATTCAATCATATAACATAATACCACGCAACTATTATAAAGAAACAAATGTGATATAGACATGTACATAGATGGGACAGCAAATGGGTAGTGTGCTTTCTAGAAGGATATACACAGCAAACTATTTTAACATTATGCTTGTGTCTGGAGAACAGGGGAAGGTGATGGGGATGAGAACACTTTATTATTTTTTTTATAAGGAGTGTCTGTCTTTGGAAAACTTAAGTGAACATAAGTAAATGGAATCCACTCACCTTTAAAATAATTTGAGCATATGAACAACGACCCATTAGTATGCAGGTTAAAATACTTGCTTAAACTCAGCAGCAAAAATGAAACAAACAAAAACAAACAAAAAGGTACTGATGGGGCCTGTTAGCCTTTGAAGTTTCCTATAAACTTTAAAAAAAAAGGAATATCCAACATAAATTAATTACATAATAAATGGGAGGGCTTTTGTTTTGTTTTGTTTTTTTGGTTTTCTTTTACTTTTTGAAAAATGGATCTTAACCCTGCTGAAAGATTACTGCTGTAAGCATAGTCATCAACCTATTCAGCAAATTCCTTACATTGGCTTAATGCTATACACAGAAAACTAAACTACTCACAATATTCTTTTCACCTAATCAAATAGGAAAGACACAGTGTTTATCATTCTGGTATCATCTGAGTTTATTTACCGAGAAAATCAACACATTTATTGAGCTCACTCAATTGTTCTGGGGACAGAGGTTCAGAATTGTCCTAGAATATTGACCCTTAGAGCCTCTGCAAGACTGTTAGCTTTAAATTGGCATTTCCTGGAAGGGACCAAACTCTGATGGTTACTTTAAAAATGTTTTTACAGCATATTTTCCTGCTTCTGCTTTATGGTGAATTTTTTTTAGCCGATGCTTTTAGTTTGGCACTTCTGTCCTGAAGAAAATGGCTCATGACCTCTGCTCAATTATGTAAGTTGAACAATCATCTCGATTATTGTTGTCATTTATAGAATAAATACAATAAAATGCAATGGGTGACTGTTAACCATACATATGTTACAAGGGCTATTTCAATTTAAAGGAGAAAAGTTCTCAAAAGCAAAGTTTTCAGTAACAAAGAATATATAAAAAAAATGTTTCTAGTTCTGCCTTAGGTTTTATTTTGACCGATTCGACAATATTTTTTCTTCCTTAAATTAAAATGGATGTATTTTTAGCTTTGCAGAGATTTCTTAGAACCATACTGCTGGCTACTGCTTCTTTTAAAATTAAATGAGAAAAACAGTAACATATTGTTCCCCCAAATTAAGAGCAGTTTTTATCCATTCATCTTCTCCATAGAGAAATTGGGAAGACAGAACAGGAAATGTTTATCAAGCACTCTATGAAAATAAATTGCCCCTTAAATTATTAGTAATAACCTATGTAACTGTCACACATTATTCCTTTGTTTTGTCAAAGATTCACACTGGAGAAAATACCCCTTCCTGACCAGTGCTTAAGCTTCCTTGTTAAGGCTTTCTATCTGTCTTTCACTATAGGTGATTAGAGGAAATGTATCCCAGTGATCTGTTTAATTTATAGAAAATAGAATCAATTTCTCTTGTTTCATCATGATTGAACATTTTTCTGAACTCCTGTAAATGAGTTATAGATAAGCACTATTTATCAGATTGTTTTATGGAACATGCAGTTTTGATTATTCTATTTTCTTGTCGCTACTAATGAAATATGTAATACGCCTCAAGAAAAAAAAAACATTTGCAAAGCTTGGCCTCTGAGCATGCAGGAAGCAATAAATATTTTGCTGAGAATTTATTTTGCACCCACTCTCTTCTCTAATAGTTCTCTCTTTCCAAGAGCCCATGGGAGGGCAGCAATGTCCTTGGGTATCTGAAATGTCTTGTGGGGCCCCACGTTCCAGGGCCTGGAGAATGGCATTTGCAAGGGCCTTTGCTGTGCCCTGGGAGCCAACGGTCACCTAGAAATTCTCTGCAGGGCTCAGAACCTCACTGAAGTTGCTCAGGCACAGACCCAGAGTACCCTGACACCCTCTATCTGGCAAACCTAAGCACCCTTCTTCTTGCCAGTGTCACAGGATTTTGAGATGGGCATTTAAAGAGATGAATCCTGTGTTGCCATCCCTATGCATCGCACATAGAGATGGGAAGCCCTGTAGAAGATGATTCATTTAACCACATTATCTTACAAGGCCCTGCAACAGGAAAGGTACCAAATGGAAGCGAGAGTACAGATACAAAGGCAGTTGAGTTTAAAGATGCTTATGGCATTCAACTCCTCCGGAAGGAATAGTCGTATTTTTCTGACCTATATGGACCACTTGATAAAAATAAGTCATTTATCTCTCTTTTAAATAGGGGTAATTACAATTAAGTGTGTGAGAGAAGACAGGAAGATAGGATGACCATTATCCCATCCTGCAGGCTTCAGCAGACCTTGCCCCCTAAGGTTGGAATTGAAGAAACAAAGGCAGGGCATTTTGGAAGATAGATGAGCTGAGGCTGGAGAGCTGACCTGGATGTCACCTCACCCTCACTTACCAAGGTCCATGCTCTTTGAGGCTTTCAGATTCATTGATTCAGGCTGCCTGGCTGGTGTCACAGATCTGAAGTTGATGTGCTGATCTGGAAAATATACTGCTGAATCTACCCCAGAGCTGCGGAAAAAAAGCCATAGACCGTATTTAGGTTTAAAATAAAATCTTTCTCTCTCTCTCTTTTTTTTTTAAAAGGAAGCAATTCTCATTTTGAACAGAGTCCCTCATCGCTCTTTCTGCAGTTCTTGACCATGCTTTTTAAACCAATTCTTGAATCTCAGGTTTATGAGATGTAGCAACTCTTTTCATATGTTTTATCGCACTCTACAATTTAAATAAAATATTCTCTGGCTAATATTGTGTTTTCCTCTTCACTGATTTCCGCTAATTGGGATGCTGCAGTACAATATATAACTTTAAGTGTGTAAGGCAAGCATGGAATACATTGGCACTTCAAAGGATGTCGCCAGATATTAGCAAAGTCTATAAGCAGGTTAACAAATTTCTGTGGGCTAAGCATGTTCTTCCTTTAAAGATAAGTGAAAGGGTATATCCTTTAGAGAAAACCACCCCGTTGAATGACTGATGGCTGCAGTAGTTTCGTTTTCTACTATTTTAAGGTCTATTTTCTAAAACTAATGTTAATGCAGAACAAACAGTCTGCTCATCAATAATACCAAAAGAAAATAACAGGAAAAGCACAGCTGACAATTTAGACACAAGATACATCAAATGTCCATTATAGGCTTCCTAGTACTTGTAGTCAATCTCAAAGAATTCCATTTCTGCTGAATGTTGTATTTATTTTGCTTGAGGATGGAGGGGATTATATAAAGGAATTACATATGTTTAGAAAGTAAATATGGTGGCTCATTTCTACATAACTTTATCTAATTTTAAATACAGTGAAAACTCAAATCAAGTATCCTTAGTAAATCTGAAAGTACTGACACTGAATTTTTCAAACAGTTGGGATTTGACACTATAAATAATAAAACAACCCCCCAAAATAAACAATTATGAATGAGAACCCTTCTAAAATGTATAGGGGATCTCAGTTTCTTAACCAGATATACTAAAATAAGTTTAATCTCTTCTTGAAACTCGTTAGTCATTCATAATTAATATTGCCTCTGAGCAATATTAAAATTAATATGCAGCTATAATAACATTGCTGAATGAATGAATAAGCCTCTGTTATTTTTACATAATGGGTAGATTTAAGAAGTACCTGTGACAGGCCAGCACAGCACAGTACTCAAGAGCACAGATGCCAGAGCATGTCTGACCAGTTCTAAATCCTGGCTCTGCTGCTTACTAGCTATGGGACATGGGCAAGTGATTGAACCTCTCTGTGCTTCAATTACCTTATGTATAAAATGGATAAAGTAAGCAGGATAGTGTCTGCCAGGAGAGGATAGTGTCTGCCACAGGGTCAGTTCTATAGAAGCATTTAGGAAACAATTGAACAGATAAATAGAATCGCTTTTGCTTCCCAAGTCACCGTAAGTTTCATTCAGCTCGTTGAGTTATCTAGGCTTTTAACAATTTCTTTGACTTGTTTTTTCAGCCTCTCAATAGGCTTGTGACCAAGAGCCTTTCTCTGCTCCTATTTAGAAGGGTAACGTGGTGTGATGGTTAGGGCCCTGGACTTGACAGTGAAATGTCAGGGTCCATTCCTTCAGTTTTCTAGTACATAAAATGGATAGTAATAATAATAGAACTTTATAAATTTCATTAAGTTGTTGTAAGAATTAAATAAATTAAGATTTGTTAAATACTGACTCTAGTGCCTAGCACGGAGAGTTCAATAAGTGAGCTATTGAACCTTATCTTTATTTCTGTAGGTTAGAGTGGTCTTTGAATAAGAAGAGCCTGAGGCACTCTCTCCAGTGAAGAAATTATACTTGTTTTCACAAAAATTTTTCAAGAAGTTTAAATCTACTCTTTAGAATTATAGCTGTTTTCTTTTCTTATTTGTTTGTTTGGTT